ATAAGAAATACCAGTCGGTTCACTGGTAAAACAGTTAAAAACAAAATTAGTTTGCAATGTTGCGATGTGCATCTGGGCCATGGACTGAGTGAGGAACGTAGGTGCACACTGAGTAGCTGGGCAGAGAAGTGGGTTTTTACAGGTCCAGGTCCTTCCTGGGAGCTGGTAGCCATGGGACAATGCCACATCTTAGTGAACCAAGACTGAGCAGGTGGCGTACACTGTGCCACAAATGGAGGCTCACTTTTTTCAAGGAGAAGATGATAGGATGATGCGAGTGATGACCGGCAGCTTAAAACATGACTTGGTTCTCCCGTGGGATCGTTTTCTCCATGAACTGAAAACATCCACATTTCTCCACTTTCTGGGGGGCTTATTTACAGACACGAAGTTACATAAGTAGAATGATGATTTATCTTTCCTCCTCCCAGTGATATTTAGAACTCACCTTTTAGAATATAGGAGGACCACATGTACTGTGTATTTATCCATTAGCACCAGTAAAACTGGCATCATAGCACATAGCACATGGACAGGAAGAAGAATCTGATAAACAAAGTTTGTTTTTGTTTTTGTTTTTTTGCATTGTGCCAGCCCGGGGCTCTGGGGCTTGGGATAAATAATTTACTGTGTTTCCTTATCTACAGACAGGGAGATCACTCATTTTATATACTTTCCACTGCCCACCTGCACGGTTCCGGTAGACTGGGATCCCGGCTGGAAAGCTCAATTCACAGTTCTTCAGAACCAAACTCCAGCGCTCTTGGATCACAGGAACTCAGGCTAGCGCTAGTTCTGCCTTAAATCCTTGCTGCTGGGATTCTTCCTTGCTTCGGAGAACAGCCACATTCAGGGGCAGGAAGGAAAAAGGAACCAGAAAAAGGGAACCAAGGAAGCAAAGGAAAACCCCAAGAGTGCAGGGTCATGGATGGCGAAGAAGACACCCTGAGGACTGCAGAGGGGTCCCTGACAATGATGCCAGGGAAATAGCTACTCGATGGGCGAATAGGAGACCCGTGGTGATGGTGAACGAACACAGGCTGCAAAGGCTGGGAGCAGATGCAGTGGGCCTAGACTGTTGGGGAAATGTGGCTGTGAGAAGAAAGAAGAAAAATTGGGAGGGCAACGAGATAAAGATAAGGCCTTTTTTTTTTCCTAACCAGAAGAGACCTATGTATGCTTGAGAGCAGAAGAAAGAAGTTTGTGCAAAGGGAGAGTTTGATCACTCTAGGGAGGACCACTTACACGGGCCCTGCGAGCAGGAGATTGTAGTCACATAGGGGAGAGTACAGAGTCGGGCTGCAGTAAAACTTTGTTCATCCACTGATAGTTGCTCAGTTTGCACTGGTTAGTAAACATTATGCTGTGTGGTACTGGGGTTAAGTGTGCAGGCTCTGAGTATTGTGTGATGTGGAGCAAGTTATTGAAGCTCTTATTGTCTCATTTTCCTTATGGGTAAAATGTGATAATCCCCGTCTTTGTGGTGAGAATTGAATGTTAATATATGCAAAGCACTTAAAACAGGTCCTAGCTCATAGTGAATGCTCAAAATGTTAGATTCAGTAATAAAAATAACAGCGATCTTTGAGAATTAATGATTAAAATCTCAAGGTCAAGTCTCATTATAATGATAAGAAGGTAAAGGTGATGAAACTGACCAGGGCCTATCCTGAAGTTACTTTTTTGAAATAGGGCTGGAGTTCAACTTCTGTTCCTATTCTTCTTTCCTCTGTCCCCTCAAAAAAACTTACTTGAAAATTAATCAGAACTTCTGGTTAATCACATCTTAAACATATACCATATTAAATGTTTTGGAGACCCTAAGAATTAGAGACTTTTTTTAAAGTAATAACCTATGTGAAGAAAAGCACACAATTTTACTGAGACATAGAAAGATGATGAGTCTAAATATGAAGGAAGGGCCAATGCTTTACAAATTAACATACCTACTTAATATAATTTGAATTACTATCCTAGTGAGAAGCAGAAATTTTAAAATTCATACAAAAAAATAAACAAGCAAAAATAATCAATAATTCTTTTTTAAAAAGGAGATAAATGAGGGAGGCTAACTCTACCAGAAATTAAAGTGTGCTCTAAAACTACAATACACAAAACATGAGAATTTATAACTAAATTAATGAAACAGATTATGTGGCTCCTAATGTAGTCATTTTCAAAAAAAGGAGCTTTTTCAAACAATGCATGCCACCCCCTGGCAATTCTGGCATGCCTCCCTTTGGGATCAAACCCTCCAGCTGTAAATCATCACACATTTTGCCATTGTATTTTGTGGAAATAGAAAAAAAATAGTAAGAACCACTTCCCCACAATATGTAAGAATTTAGCATATGATTAAAAGTGTATCCCAAATTAATTAAAGTATAGAATATCCAATAATTCATACTGAGGGAAATAATTAACTATTTGGGGAAAAAATTAAGTTAGAGTTTCCCATCAGAATTTGTACCACATACATTCCAGAAGGTTTCTTAAATTTTTTTTTTTATTTCAAAATATTACGGGAGTACAAATGTTTTAGGTTA